GCTCTATATGTATTCCCCATCTTTTGCTTTAATTTGCTTCGACATTCCAATCTTCACTTCGCTATTTTATCCAAATAGGCAACCAAAGACAGCAACCAAAACCGGCGCACGGAAGTGCATGGTTAATGGTTGTAAAAACTGAAACTGAAACTGAAACTGAGACATCTGCATTCCAGCACTCATCAGTGAAAACGTGCGCTCCCTGTTTGATAATATGGCAGGAGTGCAAGATTGGACCAAACGTGAATATTCACAAATCGTTGTCATAATGCTTCAATAAAATGGGCTCCATGACGAAAGTGAAAACAATTTTTCCATTTGCCGAGGTGATCTATCAGTTCCAGTTCATAAACGAGGCGAGGGGGGCTATCACATGCATAATTGATGCATGATTGGTGCAAATCAGGCAAACGAGTTTTGCGTATCCCATTATTTTTATCAGTACAGTCGAATCAACGATTGCCAGACCAGGAGCAATACAGAGATTTTACTTTCAGTTCTGTGGATGAAGTGTTGGTTTTGGAGTTGTCCGATTGGTTGAACAGAGTAGCATGAAGTTAATAGTGCGAGACAGTTCCGGCGAGAATATCAAGGTCGACAACGGTCAAGCTTGCAATGCGGATGCTCATAAAAATTCACAGTGTTTTTTACGTGATAAATTTGGTTCGTTCGACCAATAAACTAAACAGTCGAGTAATATACTATGGCTGGGATCAGCTGAGTCATTCGGCAGTTCTGCACGAGTATCAAACCAGGCAAAAAACACAGGGAAGGGGACGAGAATGAGTCCAATCTCACTGAGACAAACTGACCTATGCATGCAGAGACGAATGGCTGCTTCCAGATCATTGGTCACAAGTGCTAAGCGCAGAGCAGACAAGTTTTCAATGGCTACCTCTCGATCTAAATGGAGAGAGAGGGGGGGAAATGAGAGCGCATTAGACAGCCACCTAACCACAAAGAAATAAGTACACAAATAAGAGTAGGATAAATACGACTGGCGGGTTGAAGATCATGAATTCATGTTTCGCTGTAATTAAAACCACAAAAGTTTAGGGCAATTTACACCACTTTTGTATTTCCTCAGACAGTCAATGATTGAGCACAGCCTCCTTCTTGATAATTGAGTTCATCTTTTTTGTATAGTGAATGAATAACAAGTGACAAGTAAGTACTCACTACATAACCAATGGTCGAGCAAAGAACGACAATCTGCAGGCACTGACAACAGACTGAATCAAATCACGCGGAAAAATCTTGTGGCGAGAATGCAGAATATTCCCATCGTATTTCTGGGTTTGAATTTTCACATTTTTCGTAGATGTGGATCGTTCTTACAGCAATTATTATTATTGTAGTTGTTGTTAGTGTTGAACCACTAGGACCAACAAAGTTCGATTGTGTGTTTAGCCTACCTAAGGCAGTGATAGCTAAAAGCTCATTTTCCCCTCCTGAGGTGAGTACTTCCGCTTCTTTTTCTCTAACTTGCTACTTATTTTTATGAAATTCGAATTTCCAAAGTTTCGCACCGGAAGGGCCACAGTCCACAACACCAATCATGCTTGTCCCTGATTCACCCATTTTCCCAGAACATTGTACTATTAGGTTAATTCTCAAGGTGATTGTTGGTCATCTCCGAGAATGTATGTAAACCGACGAGTTGACCACAACCATCGCCTTTTGGGTTGAGCGAAATATACAACTTCTCCTGAAGATGCCTTCCGCCTTCTTTCTGATTGGGTTAACGCGATGGTACTAATCTCGTGGGGAGTTCTTTCGGCTCAGTTGGGAATTGTGCTGGATGCTGCAATCTAAGCCTATTTGTGTGCTTATCTCTCGATCACTGGTTCATTCCGGTTTCTCGTGGTCTATCTTATAGCGTGTATCTTGGGTTTGTCCGGTTGTATCGTCGACCCAGCAACACGACGGGCAGCGTGAGCCGATTTGAAATAACGAGAACGCCACCGACTTCGATTCGTTACTTTGTACTTCAGTGACTCCAAACAATCAGTTGCCGAGTATTCTTAAACCCGGTTGGAAAAAAATAAAATATCGGTTGAAATAAAAAAATTGTCTGCTTTTTTCGTTACCTTCCCCGCTGGATTGTACTGGGTAGCAGGATCAATCCAGTCTTCCAAGAGCATTCCATACTGAAAAGTTCCGAAACACCGACCGAGCACAGTAACACTGAAACAATTCAGAAGAGATTGCGAATTGCTTGGCTCCTCAGTTAGCAGTAACGTCAGCTGGTCATAGAAATTAGTTGACTTATTCACCCCTACAGGGTGAATTTTGAGCATTAATTGAAATGCAACTACTTGCAGTCTGGGAGAATATCGATGCCGCCTTCCTCGCATATGGACAAGACTACTTCCAAAACCATATATACTACAGACATGAAAAGAAAATGAGAGTGACTCTGACCAACATCGCTTTCCATGGCGAAATCTGGATGAAAAACAACCGTGGGCACAAAGGCGGCTTCGACTGTTCGCATACACGGATTGCAGCAGAGTGAAAAAAATTACGGGAAAATCCTTCAAGGAAAGGCTGAGTTAGAGTGTAGTGTGGTCGACTGCGCAAAAGATCGATTTTGAACCAAGAAGAACGAGAACGATGGATCTCCAGAAGCAGAAGTTGACGCCAATTTTCAGCGAATGAGGGTCATTTATGGTCTGCATTATATGCCCAGGAACAATTCGGGCAGGCATTAAAGCCCCATCCCCACCCCTGACCCCTGTATATCGAGAGGAATCTCAACATACGGTTAAGCGGACAAAAAAAACATACGACTTCTGTGAATTCGACTTCCCGTTTCACAACGAAATTAGTCCCAGTCATCTGTGATGTGACTCTTTTCCCAAGACAATTTTAATCCTAATCATTTATATTGTGATGCATTAGCATGATTAAGAATGACTGCAAACGAGCTCGTGCGCTGTTCGGTGTCTTGTTTGAAATGTGCTATATGGGACTATTCATATAAAACAAAAAAGAAGGCTGTAGAAAGCGGGAACTATTCAACTGACTTGATCCCATTTGACAAGGGCAATGGAATTCGAACTGTGTAGTATCCGAGGATTGCTCCAAAACGGACTCCACCTCGTTGTGAATCTGTTGATCGTCAAAACCCAACAACTTGGACAGAAGAGCGCGTCTTTCGGTATGTGGTTGAAATTGAGCCTGACAACAAAAGGGACAAGAGAATTTACAAGTATTTAGTGTGTGT